ACACTGTGGGTGTGTTGGTGGTAAGTAAGTTGGTGCAGCCACTGTGGAAAACAGTATGGAGGTTCCTCAGAAAACTTAAAATATAATTACCATATGATCCAGCAATCCCACTACTGGGCATATATCCGGACAAAACTCTAATTCAAAAAGATACATGTGGGGGCTTCCCCGGTGGCGCAGTGGTTAAGAGTGTGCCTGCCAATGCAGGGGACAAGGGTTCAAGCCCTGGTCTGGGAAGATCCCACATGCCATGGAGCAACTAAGCCCATGCACCACAACTACTGAGCCTGCGCGCCACAACTACTGAAGCCTGCACGCCTAGAGCCCGTGCTCTGCAACAAGAGAAGCCACCACAATGAGAAGCCCATGAACTGCAACGAAGAGTGGACCCTGCTCTCCACAACCAGAGAAAAGCCCGTGTGCAGCAACGAAGACCCAACACAGCCAAAAATAAAATACATAAATTTATAAAAAACAAAACCAAAAAGATACACGCACCTCTATGTTCATAGCAGCACTATGTACAATAGCCAAGACATGGAAACAACCTAAATGTCCATCGACAGATGAATGGATAAAGAAGATGTGGTGCGTATATACAATGGAATACTCCTCAGCCATAAAAAAGAATGAAATAATGCCATTTGCAGCAACATGGATGCAACTAGAGATTATCATACTAAGTGAAGCAAGTCAGAAAGAGAAAGACAAATACCATATGATATCACTTATATGTGGAATCTAACATATGACACAAATGAACCTACCTATAAAACAGAAACAGACTCATGGACATAGAGAACAGACTGGTGGTTGCCAAGGGGACGAGGGTTGGGAGAGGGCTGGAGTGGGAGGTTGGGGTTAGCAGATGTAAGCTTTTATATATAGAATGGATAAACACCAAGTTCCTACTGTATAGCACAGGGAACTATATTCAATATCTTATGATAAACCATAATGGAAAAGAATATTTAAAAAAAGAATGTGTATATATGTATAACTGAATCACTTTGCTGTACAGCAGAAACTAATACAACATTGTAAATCAACTATACTTCAATAAAAAATATTTATCAGAAAAAAAAGAAAACTATCTCATGTACAATTGCATCAAAAAGAATAAAGTACCTAAGAATATATTTAGCTAAGGAGGTGAAAGACCTGCATACTGAAAATTACAAGACATTAAGAAACTGAAGAAGACACAAATAAATGGAAAGCTATCCCTGCTCAGGGATTGGAATTAATATTGTTAAAATGTCCATACTACCCAAAGCAATTTACAGATTCAATGCAATCCCTATCAAAATTCCAATGGCATTTTTAATGAAATAGGACAATCCTAAAATTTGTATGGAACCACAAAAGACCTCAAATAGCCAAAGTAATCCTGAGAAAGAAGAACAAAGCTGGAGGCATCATATTCTCTAATTTCAAACTCTATTACAAAGCTATATTAATTAAAACAGTATGGTTCTGGCTTAAAAACAGACACACAGATCAATGGAACAGAATGGAGAGCAGAGATAAAAACCCATGCATCTATGGTCAATTAATTTATGACAAAGGAGCCAAGAATATACAAAGGAAAAGACAGTCTCTTTAATAAATAGCGTTTGGAAAAATCAACAGCCACATACAAAAAATGAGTAAAATTAGACCACTATCTTACACCATACACAAAACTTAACTCAAAATGGATTTAAGACTTAAATATAAGACCTGAAACCATAAAACTCTTAGAAGAAAACACAGGCAGTAAACTCCTTGACATAGGTATTGGCGATGATTTTTTATTTTTTATTTTAATTTTATTTTTTTGGCGATGATTTTTAAAAATCTGACACCAAAAGTAAAAGCAACAAAAGCAAGAATAAACAAGTGGAACCACATCAAACTAAAAAGCTTCTGCACAGCAAATGTAATCATTGACAAAATGAAAAGGTAACATACTGAATGGGAGAAAATATTTGCAAATCATATACCTGATAAGGGGTTAATAGCCAAAACATAAAGAATTCACACAACTCAATACCAAAAAACCCCAAACAATCCAATTAAAATATGGGCAGAAGATCTGAATACACATTTTTCTAAAGAAGACATATAGATTGCCAACAGGTTCATGAAAAGATGCTCAACATAATTAATCAGTAGGGAAGTGCAAATCAAAACCACCATGAGTTACCACCTCATACCTGTTAGAACGGCTATATCAAAGAGACAAGAAATAGTAAGTGTTGGTGAGGATGTGGAGGAAAGGGGAACCCTGGTGCCCCACTGGTGGAAATGTCAATTGGTGCAGCTACTATAGAGAACAGTACGAGGTTCCTCACAAAGTTAAAAACAGAACTACCATTTGAGCCAGCAATTCCACTTCTGGGTATTTATCCAAAGAAAATGAAAACACTGACTTGAAAATATACATGCACCCCCATGTTCACTGCAGCACTATTTACAATAGCCAAGATGTGGAAACAACCTTTGTGTTCATCATGGATGAATGGATAAAGAAACCGTGATATATATATATATATATATATATATATATGTATATCACACACATACTATACTTATATATATGTAGTGGAATATTATTCATCCATAAAAGAATGAAATCTTGCCATTTGTGACAACATGGATGGACCTTGAGGGCATTATGCTAAGTGAAATAAGTCAGAGAAAGGCAAATACTGTATCCCACTTATATGAGGAATATAACAAACACACATGAAGCTCACAGATACAGAGAATAGACTGGTGGTTGCTAAGAGTGGGGGGGGAGGGGGGTGGCGCTGTGAAACAGGTGAAGGGGGTCCCAAAGGTACAAACTTCTAGTTATAAAATAAATCAGTCATGGGGATGTAATGCACAGCACCGCGACTTCAGTTAAAAATACTGTATGGTGTACTTGAAAGTTGCTAAGACAGATCTTAAGCTCTCATCACAAAAAAAAAAAAATTGAAAGAAAAAAAAAACTGAACTTGTTGGATTTGAACGGACAAGCCAGAAGCCAGTGTTCAGGGGACTCAGAGAGGAGACAGAATTGAAGAGGCTGCCCTCAGGCTCTGCCCAGAGGGTAAAGGAGGGCTGTGACGTACAGGCAGTGCTTTGTAAACTGGTGAGCGTGTGCACAGGAGGACAGCGTGTAAAGTGCTGGGCTCTTCTCTACTCAGGGCAATGGGGACTGCACCACACCTGGGGCTACAGGGAGAAGCAGGGAGTTCCAGGGGATACTGAAAAAGCTGAAGAGGAATAACAGTGTCAGGACACCTCTTAAGATATCTCCAAGCCCCGAGGCACACTCATTCTCAATGGCATCACCTGAGATCCTAGAAAAAGTCACTGATGCTTTTTTTTTCGGGCTCAGTCACCACTGACTCTAGGCCCTAATTCTGGGGGAGGGGAATACATAAAATTAGTCTCATTTCTCTCAGTTGTGAAGGTCCTTCAGCTGTTGATCCGAAGAAGCACTAACAAAAGCTATTATTGATTGAGCCCTTAAAGGACTGAAAATAAAGGCACAATGCTGAATAACCAAAGTGGGTAACATTTATTGAGTGCTTCCTGGGTGTCAGGCACTGTTCTAAGTGCTATTGATGGGGTTCAGGGCAGGCTGACCCCCAATATGCCACTGTGGCATATTGATTATCTGGAATTATAGTTACTTGAGAAACATTCACTGCAAGATCACTTTGACCCTACTTTGTTCCCCTGAAGGCAGGAAATAAATCTCGCATATGAAAGGATCCTCAAATACCAGGAGAATAGAAGGCATCTTTATCGCCAGAGATAGATGAGTCAAGGCTAAGGACGCTTGTTACTTCATGAACTTGCTACCCTAAGTCCAAGCCCCTCTGTTTTCTAACAAATAATTGTTTCCTTGTCTGAAAGATATAAAAGGTGCCTGATTTGGCCACTTTCTTGGGTGCCATGTTATTATGGGACTCCTGCACATTCCTGATGAAATTTGGTTTTCCCTCCTGTTAACCTGTCTTGTGTCAATTTTCTTATTAGACCAGCCAAAAGAACCTAGAAGGGTAGAGGAAAAACTTTTCCTCCCCAACACTATGTAAGGTACACAGCAAGGCACGGAGCAATGATGGCGGGAGGGGTGGGATAAACCAGAATAACGGAGAGCTTTTAAGCACAGGTTTTGAAGTTACCGAAGACATGGGTTTGAAACCTGGTTCCACACATTACCTATGTTTCTCTGAGAATGGGCGCCCTGCCAGGATCCTAGCGTGGCTGAGATGTTCATTCTGACAAAGTGTGTAGAGAGCTCAAGCCAGCGCCAGGCACGGGGCAGCTCCTCAATTAACGCGTGATGATAATCGTGAAGATGACAATCACGTGTGCAGGTTGCGGCCGCGGTGTGAGCAAAACCGCTAATAACCAACATTAACATAATATTAATACCAAACACTGGTACTGCACGTACCACACGCCAGACACTGTTGGGGATGGTAAACCATTGACTAATTCACTGAATCCTCAAAACAAGCCTATATAGGTACTATTTCCACGTCCATCTCACAAATGAGAAAACTGAGGCACAAAGATTACATACCTTGCCCAAGGTCACGCAGCTACAACTGCAATAAGAGGAATGACAAACTTTACTGAGCGCTTACTATGCTCCAGTCTGTAACGAGCTCTTTACCTCCGTTAAATCCTACCATAACCCTTAAAGAGTTTGCAGTTATTCCCACTTTACAGATGGCGAGACTGGGGCTTGGGGAGGTTCCCACGGACGTGAAGATTCGGACCCAGGACCTAGCCCGTACTCACCTGGCTTCCTGGATGCGACGAAGCACGTCTCCGCCGTCCACCTCGGCCTGGGCTCCCGGGTCCCGGGCCGCCGCCGCCGCCGCCTCCCTACGCCGCGGACGCAGAGCCGCCGAGCGCCTTCCCCGACGAGACGCCGCCTGCCAGGCTTCCAGCGCCGCCGCCGCCGCCGCCATTGGTCTCTGACGTCATCGGCGCGCGCCAGCTCTGCGGGAACTTTAGGGGGCGGTAAGCGCAGGTGGCGCGTGACCCTGGGGCCTCTCCGCCGCGCGCGTAGGTATCGGGCGGGAGTCGCTGGGACCTCAGGGTCCCGAGTCCCGAGCCTTGACCCCGTATCCCCGGGCTGCCTGGCTACTCCGGCGGGTGGGCGGCGCCCGGGGGCGCGGGGACACCAAAGGGCGGGACCCCGGCCGAGAGCGCCTTTTGGCGGCCCCTCCGCGCTGTGACCCGGCCCCGATTGATCCCCGCACCTTTGCCCACCAGTCCCAGCCCCCTGGAGCTGAGGCCAGACACTTCCCACTGCTGCCGGCGGTTACCGATCGCTTTCATTAGCGCCCCTTTTCCTGCTCTGCTGACACACTGAGGCCACTTCCTACACCATCACCACCACCCACAGGCCTTTGCCGGCCACGTCTCGACTCCCCCGATCGTTACTGCCACTTCCCAGGCCAGAGCCTTCTCTGGCCACATCCCAACACTTGCCCTGTCCCCGACGGACCATTAGCGGCTTCTTCTGGACCTTTCAGAGTTAAGCGAGTGAACCTTGGCAGTGTAGGGCCCAGTCCTATGGGAACAAGGGATGGGGGTTTCAGATTGCAGTCCTTGGTTCCACGGGCTTAGATGCCGCCTCCACAGGCACCCGAATATGAATATGACCCTAGGGAGGCCCACCCCAAGGTATCCAGAGCTGAGAAAAGACAGAGGTTTTACAGGCCATCAAAGATTTGGTGGTGTCCTCTCTAGGGACTTCCCTCTACCAGAGGAGCTTAAAAAAACTCTCTTGTGTTCCCAGGAGGATGGCAGATGGTGAGCAAGCTTTCGAAACCATGTCGCTGGGGACATTAAGCTTGGAGAAAGTGACAGTAGGGATACAGTTTTGAAGTGACCAAAGGGTTGACTTGTGGAAGGATGAGACCTTGTTTTTTTTTCCTGGAGAGTGTGTGGAGGTTACTGCGAGGCCAGTTTCAGCTTGGTGGAAGGATAAATTGAACACTGAGAACTGCCTGTCTCTGGAGGGAGTAAGCAAGAGCCAGTCCAGGTAGTTTTTGAAGGAGAGTAAGGATTAGAGTGTGTGATGCCAGCGTCCCTTCTGAGCCTGAAATTTCTTGATACTCTGAGTTCTCTTTCCTCTTGTGGGAGTTTGAAAGCCACTTGTTAAATTCTCTTTTTGACTTTTGGAAACTTGCCCAGCTCTGGGATTCTACATGTTAAGATTAATTTTGGGCTGTCAAGGTGACAGTTCCTTAATTTGAGTTCCATTATTACTACACCAACCGCCTTATTTGTATAGCTGTCCTTGACACCCAGAGCTTTTTCACACCGGTTATTTAATTCTATCTTCTGTGTGATATATCTCTTCACATTAACTATGGGACTTACTCTGAAGTTTTGCTCCCCTCACTTTTGGATTTTGAAACACACTTTTCAGCTTTCTGGAAAACTCTTTTGAAGCATACCATTTGCTTAACCCTGCTGGGTCACATGCTCACTCATGGGATTCTGAAATAATCTATTCCTTGTGTTTATTTTAGGGTCAAGGGACTGATGTTTGAACGGAAAGCTTCAAAACTTTTTAAAGAAACCTTCAGAATGGCTTTGAACCCGACAAGCTAGACATCGCTTCAGAGCACCGCCTTCAGCATGCATCTGCCCTGTCAGGCTTCCCTGGCAAAGGGGTCGTTCTTTGAAGGGGTCGTTCTGCAGAGGGCCAGGGAGACGATGCTCACGGAACCAGATTGGTGGATTTGACTTTCTGGTAGAATTCTCTTGCTTTATTGATTTTTTCCCAGAGCTCTGAGAGGCTGGAGGTATTGATGGGACCGAAGGGCCTGGAAGGAAGGGAAGAAGCACTTTCATGCTGAATGAGAACGAGACAAGTGACTGTTGGAGACTGAAAACACCTAAACGTCCCACATCCGGATTCAGCGGAGGAACTGTCACTGCTGGGGAGAAAGAAGCCAGGCTGGAAAAGAAAACCCAAATAAAGAGAATGAGGGCCACCAAAGAGTAAATGGCCACCTCCACCTCGACAGAGACCACGTCAGCCTCCTGGTGAGTAGCAGGGCCTGCAGGGGGTTAGTTCCTGCAGGCTGCTGCACAGATGTTTTGGGTGAACTGAGAATCCCCAGCCAGACTGTCTTGATTTTATTAAGAAAAAAAAAAAATACCATTTTCCTCAGAGCAGCGAATCAAGGGCCATTTCTCTCCAAAGCTGATGTACTGTAACCACACGAGCCTCTTGCAGGGTTTGACGAGTCCAGCATTGCTGGTAGAAGGTAGAAAAGAGAGCCACGGCTGGATCCCGCAGCCGGCCTTGATAATACCGTGGGCACTGAAGTCTTCACTTTTGAGAGACAAGAAGCTGTGGCGGTGCAGAATTACACCGCGAGAAGAGGTTTGGCCAGGCTGGCTCTTCAAGGGTATTATACAAAGTCTGCCTGAAACTCAGTTCCCTTCTCAACCGCAAATGGGTTAAGCGTGTCTTAATTTGGCTCAGCAAACATTTATGAAGGAGAGGAAAGTGAGAGGCATGGTTTCAATAGAATGAGCAGGATTTATGACTGATTATATGTGTGCAGTTGAAAACGACACTCAGGTTTTCTTTTGTGTGCCTGTAAGAGTGGGGTCACTTTCACCCAGGTAACATAAGGAAAGGGTAGAATGGGGCCCAGCAGTGGGGTTTCATTCATTCATTCAATTATTCATCTATCTAGCTTCCAGTTTTAGTGACATATAGTTGACATACAGCACTGTAACACACATAATCATGAAAAGATCACCACAAGTTTAGTGAACATCTATCATCTCATATAGATATAAAAGGAAAAAAAATGTTTTCCTTGTAATGAGAACTCAGGATTTACTCTTAAAAACTTTCATATATAACATACAGAAGTGTTAATTACATTTATCATGTTGTACATTACATCCCTAGTACTTATTTATTTTGTAACTGGAAGATTGTACCTTTCGACTACTTTTTGTGTGTGTGTGTGTGTGTGTGTGTGTGCTACGCGGGTCTCTCACTGCTGTGGCCTCTCCCGTTGCGGAGCACAGGCTCCGGACGCACAGGCCCAGCGGCCATGGCTCACGGGCCCAGCCGCTCCGCGGCATGTGGGATCTACCTGGACCGGGGCACAAACCCGTGTCCCCTGCATCGGCAGGCAGACTCTCAACCACTGCACCACCAGGGAAGCCCTGACTACGTTTATCCAATCCCCCTTCCCCCACCTCCTGCCTCTGATGACTGCAAATCTGAACTCTTTTTCTATGAGTTTGTTTCAAGTATAATTGACCTATAACACTGTACCCAACACAGTGATTTGCTATTTCTATGCATTACAGTACGCTCACCACCTGGCAGTGGGGTTTCCAAGCTGGGTTTGAAACATTCTTTGAGGCTCTTTGATCTGTCCGGGCCCTGCAGCCAGCTGCACGTTGGGACCTAGAACTCGGGAAAGTGGATTGTGCTAGAAACAGAGTTAGTGCTTGTCGTAGGAAGATAAGGTGGGAGCCGGGGAGGGCGTAGATCAGGCGAGAAGAGTGCAGGTGACAGAGTACTCACTGCTCTGGCCTGATGGATGTGCTTTCGGAGACCGAGAGGTTTAAACCCAGGTCCAGCCCGGGTAGTCTGCTTTGCGGTCTTAAAGAAGTAATTGTAGCTACACCAGAGAGGAGACCCCGAGTCTTTAGGGAGGAGCAGAGGGTTATGGGTATTGAGGAGAGAGCTTCCTCTGCAGGGAGGGAATCAGAAGTTTGATGAGGGACTGTGTTAAGGGAGGGGTGTGGTGCCTCTCTGAGCTCTCAGATGTCCCCGCTTTTCCCGTTATGGACTCGCTGCCCTGCGGGCAAACTGCATGTGTCCTGTTTCCCTCTCCTCGCGATGGCCCCCGAGGCTGGCACACGCAGCGCTCACCGCAGGCCCTCAGCAAATGTGTGTTAAATGAATTCCTGGTAGAAGGGCAATTTCCAGAGACCTCGTGCCCAGCAGTTATGAAGACAACTAAGACATCCCTAACTTACTTCATTATCAGAGCTTTAAAAGACAGTTGACCAAACCACATGGTTATAGAGTTAAGGTTCAGTGTCTCAAATAAGAGGCATCATTGTGGGTGCCCTGTCTTTCCTTAGCTGCTCTTCTGTCTTTTGGGGCAGATGGTCTGACGGCTGGATAGGGGCGTATTTTTAGTTTGACTTGGCTGCACTTACGAAATGGTTTTATCTCTTTGTAGCTCTTGGGTCCCTTCTCCTCTGGGGCCACCAGAGGGCTTTTTAAATGCCGAATCATGAGCCCCTCTCCGGCTGGGCAAAAGGAAGCTGTGTTTTACAAGGCCCTGCTCACCGGATGGAAGGAAACACAGCTCCCTTCTGTTCTCTTGACAGGTGGAATTATTTTTTCCTTTATGATGGTTCCAAGGTGAAGGGAGAAGGAGATCCAACCAGAGCTGCCATCTGTTACTTTTTCCCCCCTCAGGTAAGCCACACAGCATTTTCTTGTTTGGTGGGGATCCCACTGCCTCAAAGTGGTGACTTTTCCAAAGGTCTGGGGAGGGTTACATGTGGACAGTTTTCTCTGCGTAGTCCAGGCATTCGCCACTTCTACTCTCTTATTCTTAGTTGTATTATTTGTTGTTGTTCTGGTGTTGAAGTGCCCAGGCAGCCCAGTACTTCCGCCTTCTCTAGCTCTCTGTTACCGTCATGATTTTCTGTCTGCCCCGCTGGATTGAAAACTTTTCTCCAAACATATACCAAAGTAAAGAGGAGAGAATCATCGGCCCTCACGTGCCCATCATCAGCTTCAGTGATAACCAACACTTGACCAGTGTGATATGAGCTATCCTAACTCCTCCCCACTCTTTTTCCCTGGAGTATTCTTTTTAAATAAATGTATTTATTTTTGGCTGCATTGGGTCTTCGTTGCTGCGCGTGGGTTTTCTCTAGTTGCGGTGAGTGGGGGCCACTCTTTGCGGTGCACGGGCTGCTCATTGCAGTGGCTTCTCTTGTTGCAGAGCACGGGCTCTAGGCGCGGGGGCTTCAGTAGCTGTGGCACGCTGGCTCAGTAGTTGTGGCTCACAGGCTTTAGAGCACAGGCTCAGTAGTTGTGGCGCACGGGCTTAGTTGCTCCGCAGCGTGTGAGATCTTCCTAAACCAGGGCTCAAACCCGTGTCCCCTGCATTGGCAGGCGGATTCTTAAGCACTGCGCCACCAGGGAAGTCCGTTCCTGAAGTATTTTGAAGCAAATCCTAGACATGGTGTCATCTCACCAGTATCAAGTAACATCTCTAACCGAAAAGGGTGTATTTTATTAACATCCCATGCAGCAAAATTTACAATAATTAGTAACAATGGTATCATCTGATACAGTCTATATTCAAATTTTGCCTTTATTATCTTAGATGTTACTTAGTCCTTCCTTCCTTCCCCCTGCCTCTCCCAATCAGCATCCAAGCAAGGCCCACACACCCCATTCGGTTATTTTGTGTTTCAAGTCCCTTGTATCATATAACACTCCTCACCCCTCCCCACGTCCTTTTTTCCCCCTGTGCCACTGAATTATTGAAGAAACCAGGTCTCTTATGCAGCAGAATGTCAGCACGTCCCCCACTCTGCACTGGGCTGATTACTTCCTCACGATGGTATCATTTAATGCTTTCTACCCAGTGCATTTCCTTTAAACTAGTAGTAAGATCTAGAGCCTTGATTCGGTTCAAGTTCAGCTCTTTCAGTCAAGAGTTCTCTGTTTTCCGTTGCATCACATGATGTCTGTCTGCCCCACAGTTTAGTCAACGTGAAGATCGATTAGGAGGCCTGTGTATTCACTCATGTGATCACACTTGACTTGGAGAGGGGGGATTAGTCTAGGCTGCTCTGGCCACTCTGCAGGGGATTTGAATGGGGATAAAGGCTCACTCTTCTACCCATGCACAGGCCTATAATCCTAGGAACAAAAACGTAGTTCTTATGCATTCACTGTGGGTGTTTTGTGACAATTCAGGCAGGGTTCAGCAAACTTTGTCTCAAAAGGGCCAATGTGGGAATGTTTTGGTCTCTGCAAGCCGTGTAAGGTCTCTATCACGTATTCTTCTTTGTTGTTATTTTGACAACCCTTAAAAAAATGTAAAAATCATCATTAGTTCCCGGATTATATAAAAACAGGCAGCAGAGTCGATCTGGCCTCCAGGCTATAGTTAGCCAACCCCTGCTCTAAGGAATGACACAGGAGTTCGGGAACTTCAACGTAATGTCTGGAATTGGCTCTTTTCCCTAGACCCTGCTTGACCAACAGGAGCTGCTCTGTGGACAGATCGCCGGGGTTGTCCACTGCATTTCTGACATTTCCGGCTCTCCTCCCACCATCGTCCGTCTGCGGAAACTTAAGTTCGCCATAAAGGTTGACGGCGATTACCTTTGGGTAAGTTTACCAGGCTGAACCAGTGCCTGCAGGGTAGCCTCTACCAAGAGTCTTTTGTCTTTGTGAGAAGTATTGCGATGCTAGGGTTTAGAAATAATGCTTGCCATGGATCTTGAGCCTAGAACCTCCTCCTCTCCCCGCGTGTGCTGCCCCCCGCCCCCGGTCATCTGCGATTCTCGTGTCACTTTCTGCAGGTGCCCATCAGAACTGAGTGCTCTCTCCAAAACACTGCTAACACATCCTGCATTGCACACGCCTGCTTTCTCCTCTCTTTTGGTCATCCTCTGGAAATTCTCTTTGCTCTGTGATGCAAATTGAGTTTTTAATCTCCATCTTTTCTTGTTTCTACTCTCTATACTCTCCACGCTTACTGGGGAAGGGAGCCAGAAACTTGAAGACACTGGTGCATATATGTTAGGTTTCAAAGAACCATTAAGAAAAAAAAAGAACAATTTACAGCTAGTAGTACTATAGATTCTAAAGTACTGTTGTCTCATGCCTCCTCTTATTTTAAATTTATTCCTGAGGGGATGGGATGCTTAAGGGTAAGGAAGTATCTTCACCTTCGTAGGTATTATTTCCAACATTTTGTTATGAAAATTTTCTAACATACTGAACAGTTGAGAGAATTTTACAGTGAATACTCACATACCTGCTAGATTCTACAGAACACTTCATTATAGTTGCTTTATCACACATTTATATATTCATCCCTTTATCCTCTATTTTAACACTTGTGGGATTCATCCACATTGTTGCATGTACCGGCGGTTCATTCCTATTTATTGCTGAGCAGTATTCCATAGTCTGAATGTATCACAGTCTACTTATTCATTCTCCTTTTTGTGGACACATGAACTGTGTCCAGTTTGGGGCACTTAAGAATAAGGCTCTAGAGGGACTTCCCTGGTTGTCCAGCAGTTAAGACTCCCTGCTCCCAAAGCAGGGGGTCCGGGGTCAATCCCTGGTCAAGGAACTAGATCCCACACGCCACAGCAGAGATCCTGCAGGCCACAACTAAGACCTGGTGCAGCCAAATAAATAAATAAGTAAATAAATAAATTTTTTTTAAAAAAAAGAATTAGGCTCTAGAGAAATACAAATCAAAACTACAATGAGGTACTACCTCACACCAGTGAGAATGGCCATCATCAAAAAGTCTACCAACAATGGGACTTTTTTGGTGGCACAGTGGTTAAGAATCCACCTGCCAATGCAGGGGACACGGGTTCGAGCCCTGGTCGGGGAAGATCCCACATGCCACGGAGCACCTAAGCCTGTGTACCACAACTACTGAGCCTGCGCTCTAGAGCCCTTGAGCCACAGCTACTGAGCCCGTGTGCCACAACTACTGAAGCCTGTGCTCTAGAGCCCTTGAGCCACAGCTACTGAGCCCACGAGCCACAACTACTGAAGCCTGTGCGCCTAGAGACCATGCTCCGCAACAAGAGAAGCCACCGCAATGAGGAGCCCATGTACCGTAAGGAAGAGGAGCCCATGTACTGCAAGGAAGAGTAGCCCCTGCTCGCCGCAACTAGAGAAAGCCCACACGCAGCAACGAAGACCCAACGCAGCCAAAAAATAAATAAATTAATTAATTTTTAAAAAAAAGTCTACCAATAATAAGTGCTGGAGAGGGTGTGGAGAAAAGGGAACCCTCCTAACGTTGTTGGTGGGAATGTAAGTTGGTGCAGCCACTATGGAGAACAGTATGGAGGTTCCTTAAAAAACTAAAAATAGAATTATCATATGACCCAGCAATCCCACTCCTGGGCATATATCTGGACAAAACTCTAATTCAAAAAGATACACGCACCCCTGTGTTCATAGCAGCACTATTTACAATAACCAAGACGTGGAAACAACCTATATGCCCATCGACAGATGAATGGATAAAAAAGGTGTGGTACATATATACAATGGAATACTACTCAGCCATAAAAGAATGAAATAATGCCATTTGCAGCAACATGGATGGACCTAGAGATTATCATAGTAAGTGAAGTAAGTCAGAAAGTGAAGTAAGTCAGAAAGAGAAAGACAAATGCCATATATCACTTATGTGTGGAATCTAAAATATGACACAAATGAACAGAAACAGACTCACAGAAACAGACTCACAGACATAGAGAACGGAGTTTTAGATGCCGAGGGGGATAGAGGAAGGGAAGGATTGAGAGTTTGGGATTAACCGATGCAAACTATTATACAGAGAATGGATAAACGACAAGGTCCTACTGTGCAGCACAGGGAACTATATTCAATATCCTATGACAAACCATAATGGAAAAGAATCTGAAAAAGGATGTGCATGTATGTATAACTGAGTCACTTTGCTGTACAGCAGAAATTAATACGACATTGTAAATCAACAGTACTTCAAGAAAATAAAATTTAAAAAAGGAATAAGGCTCTAGAAACATTCCTATACAAGTCTTTTTGTGGACATATGTTTTCATTTCTCATAGGTAAATATCTAGGCATGGAATTGCTGGGTCATAGGGTAGGTGTGTGTTGATTTTACAAGAAACTGCTAGACTTTAGCCCAGAGCGGTTGTACCAGTTTACGTTCCCACCAACAGTGTATGAGAATTTCAGATACTGCCACATCTCCATCAGCAGTAATGTGGCCAGTTCGTTTAATTTTAGCCATTTTGCTGGATGTGAAGCGGTATCTCGTTGTGGTTTCAATTTGCATTTCCCCAATGACTAGTGATATTAAGGCTTTTTCGTGTGCTTCATGGCCATTTGTATATCTTCCTTCGCAAAGTATTTGTCCAAAGCCCTTGCCCATTTTTTAAACTGGGTTTTCTTTTTTTCTTGAGCTATAGGTTTCTTCGTACATCCTGGATACCAGTTCTTTGTCAGATATACATTTTAAAAATATCTTCTCCCAGTTTGTGGTGCGCCTACTTTCTTAATAATGTCTTTTGATGGGAAGTTTTTAGTTTAGTTTTTTTTTAAAATAAATTTATTTTATTTATTTTTGGCTGCGTTGGGTCTTCGTCGCTGCACGCAGGCTTTCTCTAGTTGCGGTGAGCGGGGGGCTACTCTTCGTTGCAGTGCGCGGGCTTCTCACCGCGGTGGCTTCTCTTGTTGCGGAGCATGGGCTCCAGGTGGGCGGGCTTCAGTAGTTGTGGCACGTGGGCTCAGTAGTTGTGGCACGTGGGCTCAGTAGTTGTGGCTCGTGGGCTCTAGAGCTCAGGCTCAGTAGTTTGGGTGCATGGGCTTAGTTGCTCTGCGGCATGTGGGATCTTCCTGGACCAGGGCTCAAACCCATGTCCCCTGCATTGGCACGCGGATTCTTAACCACTGCACCGCCAGGGAAGCCCTAGTTTTAAGGAAGTCTAATTTATCAGTGTTATCTTTTATGGTTATTGCTTTCTGTATTCTGTCTAAAACCATTGCCTACCCCATTGGAGAAGACATTCTCCAATTTTTGGTTTTGTAAGTTTCACAGTTTTAGCTTTTAAATTTAGGTCTGTAATCCACCTTGGATATATCTTTGTGTATGGTGCGAAGCAGAGGTCAAGGGTCCTTTTCTCCATATGGGTGTCCAGTTAATGCAGCACCATTGTTGAAAACTTTCCTTTTCCTATTAGATTCCTGTGGCTCCTTTGTTGAAGATCAAATGACCATTTAAGTGTGGCTCTACTTCTGGGCTCAATATTCTTTCCCATTGATCTTTCTGAAGATTCTATACAAGTACTACTCTGTCTTGATGTCTGTAGCTTTATAGTAAGTCTTAAAATCAGATGGTGGAAGTCCTCCAAACTTATTCTTCTCCAAGACAGCTTTGGATATTTTAGGTCCTTTGTATTTCTGTCGTAGAATCAGTTTGTCAGTTTCTAAAGAAAAGCTGGTGGGATTATTAGGATTTCATTCCCTCTATAGATTAATTAGGGGAGACATAAGCACCTACTGGGTGCCAGACTGTTGTCACTTGGATTACATCAGGGAACAAAATGCAGATCCTTGCCTCGGTGGAGCTTACATTCAGAGAGCATTTTTGTTTTTGTTTATTTGTTTTCTTTCAGGGTTGCTTTAAGTTTCTGATGAGTCCCTTAGGAAAGACTTCTACAGGCAGAATTACTGAGTCAAAGAATACGAAGGTTTTTCAGGCGCTTTAAACATAGGCCCAGATTATTTCCTAACTGAGCAAGTGTTTATCTTTTGTGGCTGGCGCGATGATGCAGTCGGTCCCCGTTCTGGAAGTACTCCATCCAGCTGGAGAGACGGGATTGGCCATTCATGAAACGGTCTGGGTCCAGTGTTTGCTGTGAAACCCAAATGAAACATCCAGTGTCCAAATAACAGTGCTAACAATACAAGGGATCAGGAAACAGGTCGGCATTGTCTGGAGTGATGAAAACAGGCATCCTGCGGGGGCTGGCATCTGGGGGGGCAGGCACGGGGTCGGGGGGAAGGCAGGGGGGAGTCCCAGGCAAATGAACAAGAATGGGAGGCGGGGGGATTTCAGCTTGGGCAACATGAGTAGGTACAAAAAGTATCTGTTTCCTGTGGAGACCAGCGAGGCTGGCGGAGGGTGTGGGGTCACACAGCAGAAGATGGATTTTGATGGGCCAGTGGAGTCCAGCTTTAGTGAGCCCTGGATGCCAGGATTCTGAGCTTGGCCTCAGAGAAAAGGAAGATGCCTGTCCTCCTTTACAGGTGCTGGGCTGTGCTGTTGAGCTCCCTGATGTCAGCTGCAAGCAGCTTCTGGATCAGCTCATCGGCTTCTTCAATTTTTACAATGGGCCTGTTTCTCTGGCCTACAAGGTATGGTGTTGAGGAGTCTTAAGAGGAACCTCCTTAGCAAAATCGATATCGGCAGAACACAGCGTTCACCCAGGGGTCTGGTACACTTGACAGAAACACATCATGTCAGCGACAAGGTCATGGGCCCTTGGAGCCCCTCTCAGATGCCTTTCTTCCCTGGTGGCCTGAGTCCCATTCACCCAAATGTTTATGCCCGTTCCCTCCTTCCTAGGATGGCTGGGAAGAGCAGGGCCTGGTCACGCCCTCCCCCCACTCCCCGCCCCGAGGGGCCCTGGTCTGTGGGGGGCAGGTTATCAGGGGCATGGGGTGAGGCCTCGCCTGGATGGGAAGCTCAGAACAGGCCCTCCCTTCTGGCCAGTTTTTCGTGTAGGAACAATTTTGTTGGTGGTTGGAGTCCTTGCCGAAGAGTGTGTCTCTTGGAATCTTGGGTGTTCACCTCCAGCTGTTCTGTTTCAGAGCTGCTCTCGGGAAGAACTGAGCGGGGAGTGGGACACCTTCATTGACCAGATCCTGAGAAACACCAGTGACCTGCATAAGATATTCAACTCCCTCTGGAACCTGGACCGAACGAAAGTAACAGGCTCAGCCCCCTGCTCGTTGCATGGATAGGAATAGGGCTTCTGGACACGTTTTCCCCCTTGAATGAGGTGTATCTCAGGGCGCATAGTTGTTAAGACCTGTACTCAGATTCCATGCAGCCCTCACGAGCCGTGTGGGCTTGGACAAGTAAAATGGCTTGGCCCGTAAAATGGCCACAGCATAAGGCTTGCCTCCCAGAGCTGTTGTGATGATGAAATGGGACAGTACATAAATGACAGGAAGCAGATACTCAGTAAAGGGTGTTACTGTTTTGCTAATGCCCAGGAGTGTTGAACTCAGTAATCTGAAGGGCCCTTCTCGATAGTACCACTATGTGATTTAATTATTCTCGACATCCAAAAAGGCCCAGGGCTGACATTTTAAAACCAGGGTTGCCATATCTGGGACTGCGGGGCTGGGAGGTGTTCTGTCCCTGAGCTGTCGCTGTTGCCGTTGGCACGCGGTGACAGGAGGCCACCTGCGTGGCTGGCCTGGCCGCCTGCACTGCCCCTTGCTCACTGGCCTTGATCTGGCTGAGTATCACATCCTCACAGTCAGGTAGCCAAAGGGAGGTGCAAGGCACTGCCCCTCGAGAACCGCCGGCCCGTGCCCTGAGCATCTCGGGGGACGGGAGCCTTCCACTATGTGTGGGCTGGCTCTCGCTGCTGTCGTTGACTGTGTCCCTTTAACAGGGATGTGGCACTGGGATGCTGCTAGAAACAGGGACGGGTTTCCCGCTCCTGTTTGGAGGGCTTCTTGGAGTTGGCCCAGAGCTTTCCAGACTGGCTGGCTGGGCCTGGGCGCGTCTTGAGAGCGTGAAAGAATGAACTGCATGCTTGGCTCCTTGGCACTGGGTTCTAACCGCTGCCCAGCAGGAAGCAGGAAGAGGCTTTTGGTTATTGCTGGCCATTCTTGACCAGGCTCAGATCCTTTTCTGGTCTTTTTCGGGACTTTTTACAAGGACCGTGGACTGAGGCGTATACTCCTGAGTGAAAGGCCATGATGTTATCATTTTCTGTTACGCAACAGAGTTACGGGATCTGGTCAGACATCAAGCCAGCTGCGTCACAGGGGTGCCTGGGCTTCAGGGCGACGGTGGAGGACGGGTGGGTGGGTTCACCGACACCATGACCTGAATTTGAGAGGTAGGTTCTCCTCTCCTGCTGCCTTCTGGTCTCAGCGTTGATCGTCAGGGTCTCCTTGGCCATCTGCACTGTCGCCTGTGAAGAGCCATATGCCATATCTGCTCTGCCTTCCAGCTTCCAGAGAGGCCTCCTTGTCCCCAGAATTTGGCATTTGTGGTGGCAGCCGTTCTGGGTGTCAGAGGCGTGACATAGCTGTCACTGTGCGGCACACTCTCCCTCCAGGCTTGGGCTCTGAGCTGTCCATCTGCTCTCCAGAGCCCCCTTCCTGTTCCTCCTTCGCTGATGGTAAGCGTGTTGACTTCGTGGCATGCTTCTTGCCCGGCACAGGTGGAGCCCCTGCTGTTGCTGAAGGCGGCCCTCATTCTGCAGACCTGCCAGCGCTCGCCCCATGTTCTAGCCGGCTGCATCCTCTATAAGGGGCTGTGAGTAATGCCGGGTCCTGCCCCTCCAGCCCTGCCCCTGCTGCAGAACTGACCACCCCGATCGGGGGCGGGGAGCTCTGTGTGTGGCCAGTTCCGGGTGGTCTTGTTGGGCAGCTAGCGGGTAGTTTAGATTTGATATAGGGTCCCTGCCTTTGGGCAGAGCTGGGAAATTGCAAACTGTTGTGTCCAGAAAAGAGTTGGGAATATAAGAGGCAGCTTTGAAGAGATCCGTGAAATTCTCAGATAGGGCATGGAGGAGGCCCACAGCACCTTCCTCTGCTGCCCAGGGCCCTGGTGTGCTGGCCATAGCTTCAGCTCAGGCTCCTGCAGCCTCTCGGCTGGGTCCATCTCCAGTTGGCCTCTGAGGTCTCACTGCAGCTCTTCACACAGCTGGAGGGCCTCTTAGTGAGCTTGAGCACCCAAGAGCCCTCCACGGGGGCTCTCCCAGTTGAAACTCCCACCAGCTGTGTCCCCGAGATCCTCGCCACCACAGGGTGTCAGGAATGATTCCAATTCAGAGTCCTGAGTGTGTTTCTTCTCACGGTGTCCTTGTTCCTGTGTCTGACCCCCCAGGATCGTTAGCACCCAGCTCCCACCCTCTGTCACAGCCAAGGTTCTGCTTCATCGAGCTGCACGTCGGGACCAGGTATCGCAAAGCCCACCCCGCTGGCTGGGATGGTTCATCCGGCGAGTCTGTCTTTATATCGGGCAAGGCTGATCCCCGTGCTAGATGGATGGGGGCAGCTGCTGCTGCCTTGTCCTTCTCAGGACCCCAGGGCCATCCGTGTGGTTTCCTTCGAGTGAGGTCACTGGCAAAGCCGAAAGAAAATGTTGTCTTCTGCGTGGTAGACTTGGTTGGGTTTTCTTCGATCCAAGTGGAGCTATGAGAATTTGACTTCCCTCAAGGATGGGCTTTATGTCAAAGAGATGTTGGATTTTTCAGAGAGAGAGAGAGACTGTAAAAGATGGCTTAGGACAACAGAAACTTTAAAAATACTTCCTTCTTATATTTACTTAACTGTTTTTATAATGAAGGAAAAGTCATATGTGCTCATGGGAAATAAAACTGCCCACAGCTGGACTGCACAGAGATAATCACTGCTAGCATCTGGCATATTTCCTTTGAGTTCTTTTTTCTTTTGTTTTACTAGTTGATTCTTACTGTGCGAGACTCTGGTTTTAAGTGTGTCATCAGGCTAGCTTCTTACACTTATTAAATCAGTAGACATTTAAAACACGTGTGTGGCTCTAGCCGGCTCCTTCCCACCGTGATGCAGGGGTCCTTAGAACAGCCTTCCTGGTAAACTATTTGATAATGAGAGGCTTGAGGATGCCCTTTCCTTTTTCCTCATTGTTCAGCACTACGAATCCACACTAAGGAAATCATCTGACTGCTGAAGGAGGTTTATACTCAAAATTTATCGCAACAGGATTTACGAAAGTGAAAAATCAGATATAACTTAAATGTCTACGGTAGGAGCTGGCAGACCGTGGGCTGTGGGCCAGTCGCCTTCTGACAGAATTTTCTTGGCCTGCTTCTGAGCCACATCTGCAGGTTGAGCAGTTGGACAGAGACTGTATGGCCGCAAAGCCGAAAATATTCACTATTTTCGGAAACGATGAATTCTCCTGCACCACTGTAAACTTCATAAGATTGTGGTCAGCCGTTGCAAATGGCCAAAGATGCCTTCATGACAGAAATTGTGTGTCACTCTTTCAAGCAGAAAAGAAAGTTTTACGTAATGTGGCCTCAGAGTATAAAAAAAATGCATAGACTTAAAGGAAAATGTGCCCAATGTTAACAGGATTAGCTTGCGGGTGAGGGAATTATATGTGATATTTTGGAAAAGAATTTTTGTCTAGAGTTAGTTTATGTAAAGAAAAAAAGAAAGCCACAACACTTCTTAGGAGTGAAAGTCATTTTGGTGAGAAGAGCAGTTTTTGTTTTGTTTTGGTGGGTCCTTTTGGAACCTTTAGGTGGAGATGGCTGGAAAGCTCTTTTGAGGAGATTCCTGGGTTTCTCACCTTGATTGTAAATCAGAACCAGAGATCTGACCTCACATCTGGTTTAGGTTGAATCCTTCCCTTGTGAGGGTCACAGGCCCTTCACACTTTTGTTATAATGGGATCTGTGTGAGCTCTAGGCCAGGGCTGTGGTAGATGTGGCTTTATTCCAGGAGATGACTTCCCTGGAGGTCTGAGAGGTTAACATGAATGAATGCTTGCTGTTATTCCCAGAGAGGAGAAACTGAGAAATCAGAACGGGAAGAAGCCTGGTGTGAGCCTGGGCGGTGTGGCCGCCCCAGCCAGCGTGGGCCCGGCTCTTGGCTGACCCCAGCCACGGCGGGGGGCAGGCAGCTTGGGGGAGCTTCTGTTCCATCTGCTTTGCTGTTGGCATGCGGCTGGGACCAGCATCCTGGGCCTGGCTACATTTCATGAACAGATGGCACCGCACGGTCCTGATGGTTAGGTGGCGGGGGGTGGGGGGGGAGAACTCGGTGCCCAGCACCAACTTCTCTGTGTGTTTATTTTCAGAGAAAACCTCTAGGAGGGGATGCCCTGCAGGAACATGGTAAGCAATCAGGTGCCTTGCTACATCTTGGGAATGGTCTTTAAGCTGCCTGGCCCTATCCAAGTCACGTGAAAGGCCGAGTAGTCCTATATGGTAATTCCATCAGCTCGTGAGATTAGGAAAATATATAGAGCTTCAAGGACAAAGTTACCCATCAAAATCCCAGTTGTAAAGCTCGTGATTTTAGGCACACCTCTTAAATCCCCGTTTTCAGATCCTCCTTAACTCCCCATTATGAGACTACTCAGACGAGTTCCAGAAGGTCACGATTAGGAATGGTTGCCATCGGCAGCCCCTGCCAGGAAGACCTTTTGCAGCAGTGCAGGTGCCCCCAAGAGGGGGATTTGTTTTATTTTGCATCGTAAGTCAGGGCAGACCCGTTTGGTCAGGTGGAAGTGCTTTTTTCCAGCTTCTGTCTTTTTTTTAAGTGCCACTAAACCTTCTTCCACCAAACGTCACCCTGGGTGCAGAGTTGCCCACACGGGCTTTTCCCTGCTGATGGCTGACGTTGTAGCTGCAGTTTTGTGGCTTTTGTTCTGGGTTGAGGAACGAAGCCCAGAGCTGCTCTCTGAGCCCGCCTGTGGGTTGGATGCGTCACCCCAAGAACAGTCCCTGCCCCTCTGTCTTCTCTGGCCCAGGGGAGGGCCCTGGCCACACCGCTTTGCAATTCTAGGAGCAGCACTCCCTCCAAACGTCCAGATTGTGCCTGTTTTCCTGACCGAAGAGGAAGCTGTCAGTCTCCGTGAGTTCCCCCGGGAGCCCACGACCAGGTAAGGGAGCTCACAGGGGTTCCTCTTAACCCATGCATTGGGCACTCCCTCCCAAGGATTTATCCAGGTGAGCCCCTGGCATTTGATAACTGATTCCGTCTTCTCCATGCTCTGCCTTGGCAGGGGCATCTGGAGCTTCAGCATAGAGATCAGAGGTATCTGGCAGAGTGAGATAAGCATAGGTTTCAAATCCCAGATCTGCTGCTTATCAGCTGTGTGACCTTGAGCAAGTCCATTCCCTGCCTGAGCCTCAGTTTTTTCAACTGTAAAATGGACCCAGTAATGTCTACTTCACGGGTTCCTTGCGAAAGTTGGGAATAGTATGTGTGTAGCACCCAGTATAGGGCCTGACTCACAGTCGGCCTCCAAACGTGGGTGTCCCTGATTCAGTGGGCTCTGCTGTTTCCTGTAGGTGATCCCAGTGTCACTGTGTGAAGCCCCGAGGGCTAGGCGTTGCCCTAGGTTTCCTCCTGTGCTTTGACCATGACCTCTTAGGCTCTGTGGCCTCAGCACCCACTTGTCACCAATGCCCATGCTTTTTAGGGAAGCACTGCTTTAGTCTCCCCCAGGGCAGGGCCCTTGCCCACGCTCAGTCGCCTGCCCTTCCTCATGCCCGCCTTGTTCGCCAGCGCTCTGGCATCTCCAGCCAGACTCCCGGAGCCCCCAGCCCAGCGCCCTCCAAAGGGTTTGAACACATCTGCCCCGAAAGAAAACGCCCCCAGACACGTGGAACCCACGGCTCGGATCTCAGCGACCAGCCCTGAGCCCACGTCTCCTGATGTCACCTGGCCAAATGGCAGGGGGGAGAACGGACACTGGTCAGGCTGTGATGTGAAGAGCACCAAGCCCCCAACACCGCACCACGCCGCCGGGGGCCGGGGGCCTGGGCTCGGCCTCTCCCTGGTGAAGGAAACCGGTTTGTCCAGGGGGGAAGAGGAACTGGACTTGTCTGAAATCCACGTTCCAGAAGCTCAGGACACGGGAGCATCCTTGGGTTATTCTGCCTCCGATGGCGGGCCTCCTGGCTGCAGGGCATCTGTCAGTGACTCTGGCAACCCCGGAAGCCAGCCACCCGAGGCCCTGCCTGTGGGCACAGCTGTGGGCGGCCCCCTCCCTCCCTCCACTGCTGAGATGCTCACCCAGAATGGAGCCCTAGAACGGCCCAGAGACCATCCTGGCAACAGCAGCCAAGCCCCCGTCCCCAGGGACCACCTCCTCAGCCCGACGAGCGGGCCGTTGCCGTCGCCTTGCTTGGATTCGAGGCAGACGGGGTCTGAGCTGCCCGTGGGGGAACAAGGCGAGGGGCAGCACGGCGATGGGGTTCCTGAGGGCCGCTCAGCCTCCAGCCCGGAACGCGCCTCGGGCTCGGCAGACCCCCCAGGCGACGGCCCCTCCGCAGACAGAACCGGATCCAGGGCGACCCCCGTGTCCCTCGCGCGGCTCGTGCGGATGAACCTCTACACTCACAGCGTCAGAGGCCTGGCGCTGTTGCTGCTGGCCGAGGAGCCGCTGCTGGGAGATGGCGCGGCCGTCGAGGACGTGGTGAGTGTGCAGATCCCCTGGCCCCTGGCAGCCCGCCCCCGCCTCCTCGGAGTGGGGACAGGCAGGGGCGCTCGGCCAGCAGCTGTGTGACCTCGTGCCAAACATCCTTGTCCATGCAGTGGGGTGCGGGTGGTGCCCACCTCCTCGGCTGTTTGTGGGGGGTGAGTGAGCATCCAGTGCTGAACACAGAGCCAAGTGCAAAGGCATCAACAAGTGCTGCCCTTTCCAGCTTCTTCCATTTTCTCAGCGCCTCTGGTTCGTCATCAGCAGTGTGGGGTGCAGTGCAGCCATGCAGGCCATGACCACACACGGCCTCACTCCCTAGCCCGGCAGCTCTAGACTCTGTATGGCCGGAGTCTGTGCGTGTCACCGCCTGGATTGGGAGTTTTCCACCAGCCCTGACTTTCCGTCCATCTGGAGCTCCTTCCTAGAAGGCCCAGGACGTCTGAAATGCTAACTGGATCCAGAAGGCTCCTCTCAAACCTTTGCAGCCCCTTCCCCACTTCGAGTGGTAAGCTGACCTTCTCTGGGGCCTGGGCCCACGCTGGATCCAGTCGCCATAGTAACAGCCTTGCTTTAGTTGGCCGGGCAACGGCAGCGATAAAAACAGCAGGTTAAAATTGCTGCAGGGTGAACGGTGTCCTGGGGCTTGCCTTGTTTCTGTTCTTAAATCTATATTATTCTAAGCCCATCGTATTAGCAGGCAGGCCCGTGGCCCTCCGTACATGAGCGGGTCCCCTGGAACGCAGTGGAGGAGGGCGGCGGGTCCTCCGCGCGGAGCCTGGAGACAGAGCCTGCGCCTCTCGCACCTGCCTGGCTCCTCTCCCCTTTCCACAGGCCCCGCAGCACCCTCCCCGAGTGGCGGCTTCCCGCCACCTCCTTCCCCAAGGCTCTGAGCGACATCTCCACCTCCTCACAACAGCTCAGGGATCCAGGGCTGCAGTTCTGTGCATCCATCTCCCGGCCGATGCCTTAGTTTCATGGTCTGTCCTGCTTAGCACCGAGCTTAGATGCGGCATTTTGCAGGCCCAGTGTTGGCATGCAGTACAGTGGATACCACCCCTCATTTTTACTTTCCCCCCCAAAAAGAAAAAGAATAGTGCAGGCTGCGCGGGGAGAATAAGGTAAATTAAGATATATTCTGCATTTGCTGTAGGTAAATACTTTACATCTGCTACTTTAGCCAAACCTTGGAACAGCTAGCTCTGGGGGCAGGCACGGTAACTCCCATTTTGCCCTTAAGAAAACCACCTCTTTGAGATCAAGACCTAATGCACATGGTGGGGCCCAGGATTTCTGCCTGTTTCTTGTCTCCCACCCTCAACCCTCTGTCCCCCGCGGATCTGACCTTGGCATGGTAGGTGGGAAGGTGAAGGAGTAGAGGCCCTGCCTTCTGTGGCCCTTGATACTCGGACATGGGACTTGGTCTGTCACAGCCCATCCTTGTTGTCAGGGCAACGACCTCCCTGGGCTTTCATGGAAAGTAGGGTTTGGTGTTGGGCAGGAAAGAGAACGCAATTTTATGGAAAAAGAAAACTAGTCCTTTCTAAGAAGAGTAGGGCGTTAACGAACTTTGATCAGCTTGCTGGTTTGTGAGTGGAGTCGGTTGATCAGACCCAAAGGCTGTCTATTTTATAATCAGCAGAGAGCTTTCATTGCCTTTTTTTCCCGGTTCTGCACACAAAACAGTCGACCTGATTTCCCTCCAGACCCTCTGCTGCTTGCTGTCTAGAAAAAGCCAACCCACTGGTTCAGAGGAGCAGAGTAGGCTCACGCCAGGGGGCAGCAGAGAGCCGCTGATAGTTTCCTGCTCAAAACCCAAGATAATCCTCTCACTGACCTTCAATTATTCATCATTACAGTAGGACACGGAGCTATGGGTACAGTAGACAAAGCCTGGGTATAGTGTGTTAGCATAAAATACAAAAAAGCACCCCTCTCCCGTGAAACTGGTGCTTCTGAGTAAATGTGGGTTCCTGCATCGTTTCTTCTGCGTGTATGGGGACACACTGACATTGAGCCGCTTGCTTTGCTGTGGACTAGAAGGCGGAGGATCCAGGAACAGCCCCGGCTCCGTGTCTCCTAGGGCTGCTGTGAGGCTCTCGTATGTGGTAGTGTGTCTTGGGTTGGCAAACTTTAATGTAAAGGAACACATAGCAGGTGTTTTCTGCTTTGTACAACTCCTGGAATCTGCTGTTGTAGTACAAAAACAACCATAAACAATATGTAAATAAACGGCGTGGCTGTGTTCCAGTACATTGTTTATGGACACAAAAATTGAAGCTTGATATAATTTTCACATAACAATATTATTCTTTTGAGTTTTTTTCCCCTAACCATACAAAAATATAAAAACCATTCTCAGCTCTCAGGCTATCTAAAACAGCGTCAGTAGGCTGGATTTGGTCCACGGGCCATGGTTTGCTGACTCCTCGTATATATGAAAGCACTTGCTTACCAGTAGAAAATTGCCCACGTGTCATCTGGTATAGCGTCTTGTGATTTAACTGCGTTGATGGTTAAGTGATTTTATCCTGAGGACAAGTTAGGCAGAAGATTCCAGAAGTGGCCCGGTGCCTACAGAGAAAGCTCAAGATTTGGCATGGCTCATTCTGTCCCCGTTTTCCCTTTCCCTGGGCACCCGCTGGGGATGGAGGGATGACTGTTGCAGATTCCTGAGATCCAGAAACTTTCAGCGAGGCTGTGGTTTGACTTCGTGGTAAATCCTGTACACACACACACACAGCCTCAGCTGCCTCTGTTAATTGCGTTGGTGAGGCTGTTCCAGGGATCTGAGCAGGGGACAGTGTGCTTGTCCTCCTGTTCCGTTACTATGGACCCTCGACTCAGCCCGCACAGCTCGTGGTGGACGGTGCCTGGTGTCGGTCACACTGGCTGTCCAGTCACCCAGTGGCTGTTGACTGGCACCTCCTGGGAGCCAGGCTCGCTGCTGGGCCCTGGGGACGCAGAGATGAGGGTGTCACGTAAACCCTGGTGCCAAACCTAATGGCTTTAAGTACCATTTCTACGACATGGGATAGAAATGCTAATTTTAAGTCCAGGACACTCCCCAAAATAACACTTGAGTTTCATGACATTCACCTCAGAACATTCTCTTTACATCTCTGGTCCTTTTATGTGAGCTTATTTTTATACACAGCTGTCGTGAAATAAGCCAACCCACAGACAAGTCGTATTAGTCCAGGGACGAGTGCTCATGGAAGAGGTCCCACTTCTTTAATAACGACAGTTTTCATATTCTTGACTTTAAGAAAATGCCTTCGCTCCCGGCACTTCAGAGCGGACAGAATGGATAGATGCTATTTGACCTCAGCCACTCAGCAGCCCTGTAGTATCCCTATTTCACAGATGAAAAAAAGCGAGGCGCAGAAAAGCCAGTAACTTGCCCCGGGTCATCTAGTCGGGAAGAGGCTGAGCCAGGAGGTCCTTCACCTGGGCGCCAGCTGCTGCCCAGGGCCCGCGGCCTCCTTGTGGCTTTAGCAGCCCGGGGCAGCCCCAGGAGGCCCTGTTTCAGGCTGAGTCCATCTGGACGTGACGGACGTACTTGGCGGGGCCCAAGATGGAGTTCAGCCGTTCGAAAATGACGTTGCGGGAAAATAGTTCACGGATGAAGGACGAAGTTCACGCTGTATCGTTAGGTCACAGAACTAGCATCAGTCGTTATTTATGGTCTGACTCCATCTTTAGTTTATAAACAACAAATCGTACAAAGTGGGACAGTCCAGTGTTCCCAACTGCACCTGCAGGTGACATCCCCTGGGAGGTGTTTTAAAATACAGGTGTTTGGGCCTCACCTCCCGGACAGCCTTCCTCAGCTGGGTTCCTCCTCTGAGCCAGAGAGCACAGAAAACCATTTCACCCACACTTCTCAGTCCTTCGAGAACAGTGGCTGGTACCATTCTAGGTACACGGGAGGTAGGTGGCCTCCCTGCAGACAGTCAAGAAGCACGGGGTGGGGGAGGAGCGGGGCACAGACGCCAGCCCTGGTTATAGGAGATGCACCAGGGCGCCACCAGTGGCTCTGCCTGGATGGTGAGATTCTGGGCCAGTTTTCCTTGCTTTTTTTTTTTTCTTTTATTTTTCTGCTCCCCCCTATTTTCTGATTTTTCTACAAGTTTGAAATGCATTAGGACATAAGGGCCGAAGTCAGGACTTCTCCAACAACAGGTCAAAGCACTGGTCAGAGTCCTTCTTGCTAAGTCAGGCAGCCACGCAGATATCCCTTGGGTGGCTTGCTCAGCGGCGGCCTGTCCCCTCCCTGCCCCGCAGTACCACGGCAGCCTGGCGTCCCTCAATGGGCTGGAGGTGCACCTGAACGAGACGCTGCCCCGGGACCAGGCGGCCCCTGCGGCCAGAACCTATGGCTTCGCGCACTACGACCGCGTCCAGAACGTGCTGGCGGGTAAGGGGCGCCTCCAGTGGGTGGGAGTGGGAACCGGGGCCCAGCGCACGGGGTGAGTGCCCTGCAGTCAGGATGCTGCTTTCTCACTTGGAGCCCAGCTCCCACGGGGTTTAAATTCTCTTGGCAAACACTTCGTTTCTCGTTTATCTTATTTTGGCCGTTTCTCCAACATCTTGAGAGAAGCACACACGTTCAAATGTCTGTGATGAGGTCGCCTCCCGACTCGGACCTTCGTGTGCAGAGACCGGTGTTGCCCACCATCGGGGGCGGCGTGTGCTCCGTGGCGGGGCGCAGCTGGAGGGCCCAGCACCCCGGCCTCTGTCCCGCTGCCCCTGGGCACCTGTACCCCAGGCCGGGGCCTCACCCTGTCCCAGTTTATGGTTCTGGGTTTGGGGGATGTTGCTGGAGGGGGGCGGTCTGCCACTCACGACTTCTGTGTCCTCTTCTGGAAGCCAACCTGCCACAGATGGCCACAGCCCAGGACCGCCGCTTCCTCCAGGCCGTCAGCCTGATGCATTCCGACTTCGCCCGGCTGCCCGCGCTGTACGAAGTAACCATCAGGTGAGCGTCCCCAGCTCACTGACAGCCCTGCGCCAGGAGCCGCCTTCCCGGGTCGGGGCAGAGCCTCATTCATAACCAAATGAAGGACAGTCCAGGAACCAGTCAGGGCTTTCTTTGATCTGCTCCGGTGGCTGCTGTCATCTGCCCCCATGCTTCCCATGTCATGTATTTGCTGGGTCCCATCCTGGGGTTCGGACTGCTTTACACACTGGGGTACAGCAGGGAGGAGACCTAAGGCCCTCACCACCTCAGTGCTTCCATCCGTCACTGGGGAGGGAGGAGGGGCCTCGGTCTCTGCCATAAACGATGCTGAAGTGCTGTCTTCCATCTGCTAACTTAACAAGCCCCACGTGCTCATGGCCAAGTCTCCCAAGTCAAATGCTGCCCTCCCCTCGCCGGCAATATGGCCCAAAGACACCCACAGTTAATAGTTCGGTGTACGTTACTCCAGGTTTCGTTGGTTTTCGTTTTTATTTTTTGCATATAAAAGACGATTCGAATTTTTGACTATTTAATGGTCTTTCTTCTAGAAAACTGGAGCATACTAATGTGCTGGTTTACAGGTTTCCTTTTTTCACCTTGTTGCATGTCCTGAACGCTGCTGTACCAGCAGATCTAGATTATTGTTATTATTGTCATTTACAGTCTTTAACCAACCGAATTTCTACTTTTTCTCTCTACACGCTTCCCTTATGAAACCGGTAGCAGAAAAGAAGGCAAGTTAGAGGGTCAGAAGGGGGGTGCCTGCTCTGTGTATATCATTCAGTTAAGTCCTTGGAATGATTTGGTCCAGCGCATTCTTTTGAACCTCATTTTATGGACGAGGAGGTTGAAGCACAAACAGAATGAACGACTCGCCCCAGGGTCGCATTCTTACTCAGAGGCTGAGTCAGGATTTGAGCCCAGGTGTCTCAGCTCTAAGCACATGCCCCGGCCGCACACCTTTCCAGTTCCGGGGACAGTGTGGCTGAGAAGGAGGCGTGTGGGCTCTGGTCTCGGCTCTGGTGCTGACCAGGTTCTAATGCCTGTCACCGGCCACACAGGAATGCGGACACTTCTGCTGCCCAGCGCCACCTCCAGCCAATATTTCTGTATATCCTTCCGTAATAAATGTGTCTCCTCTGGCTTTAAGTCACAGCTGCCCCACGCTGGCAACCTAGATCCATCACCCACCTTGTGGCCCTGTAGTATTTCATCTTCCTCGGAGCTGAGAGGGTTTTAGCGTTGGGATACGTAGCTCATTTGAATAATAGAAACGGAACAAACAGGCTCCATTTCTTAACCGCTCACCATGGGCTAAGCAATTTGTATATATTCCTACTCATTTGCTCTCTATAAAATCTCAGTGAGGGAATTTACCGTTGTCATATTCATTTTACTGGCGAGAAAGCTGGAGCAGCTTAGCCAAGGGCACACAGCCAGGAGTCGCAGGGGTGGGATGAGCACCGAGGTCTGTGTGACTCCAGATCCATGCTCGTTACCTGAAGGCCAAGGTGCCCCCTCTCCAAGGCCGTAGTGACTGGTCCATGACTCGTCCTGCCGGGTCACTGACAGCACCTCTGCGGGTCTCCGAGCTCTGAAGGCTCACAGGCAGCGTCGGACTGTGGTCTCCTTTCTTCCTCCAACAGGAATGCCTCCACGGCTGTGTACGCCTGCTGCAGCCCTGTCCAGGAAACCTATTTCCAGCAGCTGGCGCCGGCGGGGCGGAGCTCCGGCTTCCCGAATCCGCAGGACAGCGCCTTCAGCCTCCCGGGCAAAGCCAAGCAGAAGCTGCTGAAGCACGGGGTGAACTTACTTTGAACCGTGGGTTCATGACCCCAGCAGATGCCTCTCACATCGAATCCCAGCAAAGGAAGCTCTGCCTTGTTAAATGGAAAAGTCCCGCTATTTTGTTTTCCTTGGAGTAGCCCCTTGTTTTTAGGAATGTAATGATATTTAAGTGTTTGTTGCCCCTTCTGCAGATTGGCGTTGGAGGAGGTAGCTCTCCGGGTCAGCAGACCTAGAGCACGTGGTAAAGAACTTGATGATGTGGGCAGCACTGCGGCCAGACTGGGCGCGCCTTGGTCCTTACACCCAAGGGGCACAGGGCCAGTGAGCCCCCCGTCACACTGAGCCCCGGGCGCCTGACATTTTTTGCTGCTGTTCCACCCCAGCCTTAACTAGGACCACAAAACCCCAGGTTGGCATCTTTTCTAGAACCTGGTTGGCCCTGTCTAGAGTATTTGTCCAGCCCTGTGTCCAGGGGGCCGGTCTGAGGTGTGAGCGCCCAGCCAGGAGGCGGATTTGTCAGCGGGCGGCAGTCGTGCTGGGAGGGCGGGGCGCCTCGTGCGGTGAAGCAGTCAGGGATGCTGAAACCACCTTGTCTGCATCTTCTGGAACCATATCCAAAAGGAGCAGCCTGTTCTTTGGCTCAGCCGCAGTGGGGGCAGAGCTCAATGACGTGGAAGGGAGTCTGGGGTGCCGGGACCGAGAGCTGGGTGACGACAGGCCAGACTGGGCCCCCGGGTGGAAGTGGGTTGTGCTGCTGGTTCCTCCCGAGCGAGTGTCCCAAACGGGAGTTTCTAAAAGGTTTTGGTGCAAAAGCAGGACTGTGCTTTTCAGCGGTGGCTGCATGAAAGGGAACAGCATTCGTGTGTGTGTTTCTGGGCTGGAGTAGTAATAGAACATCAGTTCTATTACGTTACAGCCTGACATTTTATGATGATACGATGCAGGTCACAGGATGGAAATATTTCGCAAAATCCTAACCAGATGTTTACTGAAGTACCTGAGATTCCATTTGAAAATTGTGATGTTAGTAACTTCATGTCAGGGAACCATTATCTCATGTTTCAGACATGGTGTCTTTTTCTTGAAACAAGTTTCTAAGGGCTAAAAATAAAAATAGCCAAAAACACTAATGAGTTCTGAGTAACAGTAACATCTCTAGTGACAAAGTAAGGATGAAGGTATGTACGTATATGTGTACATATGTGTGTATTTCACGTGGTCACGTTTCTCTTTGCCCTGCCTGATCCAGCCTGGCCAGGTGAGGAAGAGCGCATGTCAGAACGGTCCGTGCGAGGGCGGCGCGCTGTTCCAGGGAGCACCAGCTTCAGCGTGGCTGGACCGCACACCAGGCCCATGTCACCCTTTCTGTCACCTCTCTGGGGTCCCTCCTGCCACTGGCTGGCCTAAGAGGTGAGCTTCCCAGATGGAGGAGGACCACACCTCAAGCTAGGAGAGATGGACAGTGTCCTACTTCTCTGCCTGGATTCTCCAAGGAAAAGTCCCTTACAAATCCCGGGGCCAAGATCTCACGGAACATTCCCGTGACTGCCTTACACAGAACATGTTCCCTTTCCGTCCTGAGGTATTTTCAAGCATCCACACTTTTTTCCTCTTGCCACTGATGCTCCAGAATTGTGAGATCTCCAAGTCCTGAGTTTGGTGAAATTCTGACCTGTTACGTGTTGACACAGGGACAGAACTTGGAGCCCCTGAGCCCATTTTCATCTGCGCCCCCGGTACCTCAGCTAACTACCTGGGCTCAAGGACTCTTCCAAACAAGATCTGCTTCACAAGGAAATCTCCTGCCTGTCTCTGAGCCCTTTCCTGGCTGTCAGGCCGTTGGCAGAGCTTAATCTCCTCTGTTTTGCTTTCAGAAACCTCTCTTCCCATCTAATTTCCCAGGGCTGCTGTTGAGCCTAAAATGCGTGTAATACAAAATGCTTGTTCCTGAGAATCAGTGCTCGAGGCAGCCCGGTGCTTCCCTCTGGGCTGAGTCTCAGCGATCACAGGTATGAGGTCCTGTGACCTCGGGTCCGCACAGCAGAATGTGAGACCTGCGTGCGACGGCCATTTTAAAATAAGTCCACAATTTCTTTGCTACAAATTAGGGACCTGATTCTCCCCCTTGAGTGTGGGCTGTACTTAGTGATTCGTTTTTAATGACTAGAATGTGGCACAAATGACAGTGTGACTTCTGAGAGTAGGTTATGAAACATCACAGCTGCCACCTCTCTCTCAGTTCACCTGTTTTGGGGAGAAGCTGACATCCGGGCAGCCCTATGGAGAAGCCCTCGTGGTGAGGGTCTCCTGCCCACGGCCACGTGAGTGAGCCGTCTTGGAAGCAGGTCCCCCAACCCGGTTGCCTTCAGAGGACTGCAGCCCCTGCCGACATGTGACTCAACCTCGTAAGAAACAGCCAGAACCATCAAGCCGAACCACTTCTGAACTCCTAGCCCTCAGGAAGTGTGGGAGATGATAAATGTGTGTTGTTTTGAGCCACTCTTGGGGTGATCTGTTACAGCAATAGACAGTACACTCGCAAGCCCACATCTTAGCCCCCGACCAGGTTCCCTGCAGCTTTGGCCCGGGGACCCTTCAGCCTCGGTCCGTATCCAGCCACCAGCACCCACCGGGCCACACCACTAAGGAAGGA